AATACACGCATTCTGGCGAGCATGCCACCTGGCACCACCCTTCTCATGGTCATGGGCGCATTGATTTCATTGGCCTTTCCTCTGACATTGACATGCACGAGACGGCCACGTGGATTCATGTAGAGGTTGATCTTTCCACAGCACGCGCCGACCATGCGTGTGTGTGTGCTGAGGTTCGGCTGCGGTTAGACCATAAAGCCCCACCTGCACCTGAAGTTGTTCCAGCAGTGAGCGTGAACACGCCAACATGGCACCATGATGTTCACACACATGCCGCTCTATTACAACGACAACTTCAAATTCAGGCTTCACCACATCAGCAGCCCATCATTCGCAAGAAGCACCTTTCACATGACACCATTTTCCTTATCAAGCGCAAGAAATTTGCTCGACGTCGTTTGCTTGCGGCTCAACGTGCACAGCGTCGGGACATACTGCTACACGTTTTCTGCGCTTGGAAGTGTCCTGATGCTCCACCGCCTGGTGAGACTATTTCTTCAGGTGCTATTTTACGTGAAGTTGCGGTCTCAGCAGAGCAGTACAGGAAGCTTTCCATCAGGGTATCCTTTTGTGTACGCGATGACGACCGCCATTTCTTTGAGGAGCTTGCTGAAGAAACAGGTCGAGTTGCAGAAAGAGGTTTCCACCGCATCTGGGACGCCATCAAACCCATGCTTCCCAAGTGGCGCAATCGGCGCAAACACAATATGCGCTGTGCAGGACCCACTCCTGACCAGCAGATTCGACATTATTGTGCCTTAGAAGCGGGCGATGAGGTTGACTACCACGACTTGCTTTCAACTCGCCAAGAATTTCAACAAGTACGAAGTGCAGACATTCCGATCCTTCTCCAGCTTGAGCAACTGCCGAGTCGAATCGATGTTGAGCAACGACTGCAACAACTGACGGCCCATCGTGCGCCCGGACCTGACAAGCTTACTCCCACCTTTTTACGAGCCCATGGTCCACAGATTGCAGAACCTCTTTCGCAGCTTGCCATCAAAATGTGGATTACAGGCAACGAACCTCTCCAATTTAAAGGCGGCATGCTGCACTCGATCATGAAGAAGTCTTTCTGCACCAAGGTTGAAGGCATGCGTGGCATCATGCTCATGGATGTGCTGGGAAAGGTCTTGCATGCCATTTTGCGACAGCGGTTCTTACCCACCATGACTCAATGGAGACATCCCTTGCAGCTTGGTGGGTTTCCTCGCTGTACTACCCTTTTTGCAACGCATTATTTGCGTGCTTTTCAGCAAAAGGCCAATGCAGCAGGTCTTTCTTCAGCAGTTCTGTTCTTAGATGTGAAGAGTGCCTTCCACTGCATGATCCGTCAGATGTTGGTTGGTGATGATGTTGCTTTTTCTTCTACCTTGAGGCAGATCTTGCAAGAGCATGGCTGTGATGCTGATGCCATTTGGAATGATATCCAGCGCACGTCACACAAGTTTTGTCAGGACGTTCCTGTCTGCGAACAGAGACTCCTACAAGATGCACATCATTGCACTTGGTTTACCATTGCAGGAAGTGACACCACTTTTCAGACGTCAAGGGGCAGCCGCCCAGGAAGTCCTCTTGCAGACATTGCGTTCAACGCAATGATTGTGCATGTTTTGGATGACCTGCGACAAGCTTTGAGTGGTGTTAGTGCATTGCAGCGTGGATTTCATGCCTTACAATTTCATGCAGAGCCCATCACATGGGTTGATGATGTTGCCATTCCGATCGTTGTTGACGCCAGCTCTTCTTTAGAAGCAACGCTGGTTGATGTCACTGAGAAAACCATTCAAGTTTTTCGTACAGCTGGATTGGTTCTCAATTTGAATCCCAAGAAGACGGAAGCCGTTGTGTCATTTCGTGCAACTCAAGCACCAGCACTACGTCGGCAACTTTTTGTTGAACGTCTTGGCCGCATTCCTCTGTCAACTCAACAGGTTTTGCAGTGTGTTGCATCCTACGAGCACCTGGGTACCATCTTCAGCAGTGATGGGACATTGAAGGAGGAAATTGACCACCGCTGTGCTCGAGCCACCCAGGCGTACCGTCAGGTTGCCAAATGTATCTTGAGAAATCGCCATGTCTCTGTTAGTGCTCGTCTCAAATTGTTTGAGAGTTTGGTCATTCCTGTTTTGATGCACGGAGCTGGTAACTGGGGACTTCTTCCAGCTCGCCAGTTCAACAAGATCCATGCCCATATTATGAAATGGCAACGATCGATCATCAATGACGGCTTCTGGACTCCGGAACAACGTTCAGATTTTGCTCTTCAATGTGAATGGCAACTTTCTCCGCTGGCAATTCGGCTGGCAAAGGCTCGACTTCTATATGCATTTCATTGTGCTCAAGATGCTCCAAGCCTCCTCACTGACTTGATCACTGACCCTGCGCAGCCAAGCTCAGGATGGATGCATGCCTTGCGCCATGCCTTGAAATGGCTGACCGCTGCGGATGAGCATTTTTGTCCTGCTGATTTGACTGATGCACCAGCTTGTCGCATATTTGACTGGCTTGCTCGGCATGGCAAAGATGGACCTCGTGCCATCCGACGCATTAGCAAGAAGTGGATTTTGCAGCTTCATGTCGTGGGAGACGCAGCGCAGCTTCATGGTCAATTTTGTCAAGCTATGACAGACGGCGGTATTGTTCTTGATATGATCGAGGACACATTACCTTCTGGACCAGACGTGACGTTTTACTGCGACTGGTGTGCTCATGGTTTTGATTCATTGCAGAAACTTCAGGTGCATCATTGGGTTTCTCATCAGATCATTTCTCCTGAGCGCCAATTTGTATTTTCGGACACATGCTTGGCTTGCAAGACCTGCTTTTGGTCTGCGGCAAGACTACAACAGCACTTGCGTCTTTCCCGGAAAGTTGCAAACGGATGTTATGAGCAGATGACATGGCGCTATGCTCCTTTGCAAGAAGCTTGTGCTGTTGCTGTCCCTGAGGACCTACGTGGATATCGTCGCCTTCCGGCTACGGTAACCACAGGATTTCACTCTTCGCCAGAGGACGAGCAACATCCTACACGAGAGGCTGCCATGCTCACTCTAGCCACGGCTTGGAACTCGCATGGCTTTCCTTCCACCCTCTCGGATGAAGTGCAACGTGCCGCAGCAGAGGTAGCAGACCTGATTTTGCAACAGTGGCATCCACAGGGTCACATCGATGTTGACGCTGTGATTTTTCCTCTGAGCGAGTACATTGATGAGAATGATGAGAAGCTTTGGGCTATGTGCATATGGTGTCAACAACTTTGTGTTTTCCGACGATTTCCTCATTTGTCGGTTGAAGCTTTTCGCCAAGTCAAAGTTGCCCTTCATGACCTTTGTGACAGCACTCCTTTGGGCAAGCTTGCTGCTTGGTATGATCGCATGCAACGAGCTCACCGCCCGGTTGCTTATGATGTCCTCAAAGGTTCCAATGCACAGAGGCAGGCGCTTGAAACATGGTTTGATCCTATTTCACAGCAACAAGATTGTTTTAGTTCTTTTTGTCGGTCTGTTGTTAGTGTCCCTGATTGTTCACGCGTGCCTGTTGTGATTGAAGATGGGCAACCCACGATTTGGATACTGCACCTGTTCAGTGGACGGCGACGTCGTGGAGATTGCCACTTCTGGACAGCTTGCCTGCAGCACATCATACCTGGCTACCAGATCAAGATCTTGTCCGTTGACACGGCCATTGATGCTGATCTTGGCAACCTGGACCGTGGCCCATCGTTCAGCCGCCTTCGGAAGATTGTGCGCAAACGATTCTTCGCTGCATGTTTGACAGGGCCGCCCTGCGAGACATTTAGTGCCGCGCGACATGTTGCAATCCCGGGCCTGAGACATCCACGACCTTTGAGATCAGCAGCCACACCTTGGGCGCTTGCACAGCGCACTCCTCGAGAGCTTCGGCAAGCTCTCATTGGCGCCCGTTTGCTGTTGCACTCGCTTCTTATTGAGATAGAGGTTGTGCTTGCGGGGGGAGCGTCTCTCATGGAACATCCTAGAGAGCATCCGGACTCGGACCGAGTCTCTGTTTGGCGACTTGACTGTCACCGCTACTGGCTTCGCCGGCTACCTGACGCATTCGAACATCACATTGAGCAGTGGCAATTCGGTAGTAGAGGTGTCAAACCGACAACCCTTCGGGCGTTGAATCTCGGCCCTCCAGAGATAGCTGCAAAGGTTTTTCGACAAGAGGTTGATCCCACCAAGGTCCGGCCATTGAACCCACTCAAAGGGAAGGATTCAAGTGGCGAGTTCAAGACTGCCGCGGCCAAGGAGTATCCCTCTGATTTGTGCCGAGCCCTAATCCTGGCGCATGTTGCTGGCATCAAGCACAGGTTAGCCACGTGCGGAGAGGTCACTGCACAGATTTTGACCCCGTGTGAAGAGGATTGGGTTCGTAATTTGCATTTGCAGGCATGCACTTCTAACCTTTCAGGTAAATACATGCCCGATTTTCAAGGTTAGTTAATTAGCATCATTACATGGTCGCACAAGCATTGCTTAGAGGCGAGGGAATGAATGTATTGGATTTCAGGCCTGCTCCCAACCCGTTTTGAGCTACGGGTAACAAGCAGCAACCCTGGTGAAATGATGGATGAATGTGGATTGAACATGTCATAATCAATGATTTTGTGAAACAGCATCATGTATTTCTGGTGGCCATGCTCACTGGTTGTCTAGCAACTCTTTTTTTTTTCCGGTGATCTACGTGTAGACAGAGGGGTTTACATCCCCAAAGCTGCTGCCATGCTGCCACTCTTTCGACTGGCGTAGAACTTTGTCAGCGCCAAGCGTAGCCGCGCCTGACCGGCTCATGAGACATACTCTCGTCTCAACAGTTGAAGTCCCACATCCAAACCATCCAAGGTTTAAAACATGGCATTATCATCATTTTACCAATTACAATGGCAATAAATTGGAACACCATCTCCAGGTTCCAAATCACATTATTCCTAGTTGACTGTCTCCCAAGACACGCCCAATTTGGGATGTTTCTGATGTTTCTCAAGGTTCAACTCCAACACCCGAACTTCTTTTCCAACTATGATTGCAGCTGCGTGCGCATCTCTTTCCTTGGCACGACATCAATGGGATCATCGGCGAGTAGGGAGAGTTCTAATGAGTTACCTCGCAATCAAAGATGGGAATGGGATATCCCAATAAACAAATTCGCATTTCAATCGTAAAATCATCAAATTCAAATTCGTCATGCAATGTTTCCATTTTATGTTGGCCCACCCTGGTTCCATTCGCGCCTGGCTGATTTTTACCCACTGAGTTGGTTCTGCAAAAAAACCATCCCATCGTCCCTGTCAATTCTCAACCAATGGCGTGTAAAATGGGACTTCTACAACTCATTCTAAGGTTTGCAAAATCACTATTGCCAATTTGATCGATTTGATCCATTTTACCGATTCTAGATTCTATTGACTTTTCCAATCTTACCAATTTTGATCCGTTTACCAATTCTCTCTCTCTCTATATATATATATATCTATATATTGCGTTTTACCAATCTTACCAGTTTTATAACCAATCTTGGCGATTTTGCTTTTTTTAAAACCAATTTTAGCGGTTAGTTTTACCGACTTTATCAATTTTTACCGTACCAACTTCACCAATTCTGCGCATTTCACCAATTTTGTTCAGTATCATCCATTTTAGTCTCAGTTTTGCCACATTTTTGGAGTTTTGCCAACTTTACCACTTTTGCACTTTAACAGCCTATTTCATCAATTTGCGCCGGTCCTACCAATTTTTACAAGTTTCACCATCTTAAAAGTCCAAACTTTTTGGTAAAAAATCCGATGTCCAACGTTCTCCCACAATTTATCCATCACGTTCATTCATTTTCACCATTCTTTGATGGTTTTCATCTGCATTTTGTTGGTCAAATCCCCCATCCATCTGCAATGTTGGCTCATTTTCATGGCCACGTAGGCGCCACAGGTGATCTTGCTATACTTCTTGGGCCGCTCCACGGTGACACAGCTTTCTAGGCACTCCACGTCCGCTGCCTGCGAAGCGTATGGAAAATCATGGAGGATTTATAGATGGTGGAACATCAAGGAATGTATACCTAGTTAGTTAATATTATCCATATTAATATTATCCATATTAGGTAATATTGATAGTATATGATAGTCCATTAATATTATTGACTAATATGGACTATGTGACAAAACCAGGGCAGTTTCTGGAAGAACTTTGTGATCAGGGACAGTCACCCGGTTGACCGTCTCAGGGACTCCCAAGCTCCCTCAGATGGCCTCATCCATGTTGTTGAAGAACCTTGTTGAAAGGCTGGCGATTCCGGACGTATGGCTGGAATATGCAGGAATTTTGTTTTTGAAGGGAAACTAGCCAAATTCACTGCATCCTGGTGACACCTGGATGATTGTTGCTTGCTGCCTCTGGTCAAATTTAAAGTTTCAGCTACATCTATCTTTTTTGGGGAAGCATCAGTTATCTCTTCTTTAACGTCCCAAGTTTATAGAGGGTTCCAATTTTTCAACCGCCAGGGATGAACTGGGCTTCACCAATGGTAGATTCTGGACTGGTGGTTCAATCACCTTATTTCTTACAAATCTGCCAGCATCCGGCACTACTGCACCACTAAATGGCATGGTCGCTTGGCTATAATTCACCAAATCGTAGCTATTTGCGAACATGTGTATTAGCATCCCCCGCCCCAACTTGTACTGATCATGTACACCACAAGGGACCCACCATCCACCAGGTGTGCTGAAGAAATTTCTCTATACTCATTTTGCATGATATGTTCTAGGCAATCCAACAGCAAAGAGGGGGTGAGGTTTGACTCTATCGCCATTCTTGCCAGAAATGCGTTGTCGAAACTGGCGATTGGAATCTACCGCGATATTTGTTGGATGGTTTACTATACCAATACCAATTCATCCTATAACACCCAATATAATTCATTAAAGTGGATGAATATGCCGAACTGTTCAGCTTGATCCATCTCATCCACACTAATCTCATTGGGCTTATGTGTCACATATCAATTACACTACTGGTTGGTGGTATACCTACCCCTCTGAAAAATGATGGAGTGAGTAACAGTTGGGATGATAACATTCCCAACTGTTTCTGGAAAGTCAATCCAAATTCCATGCTTCCAGTCACCAGCAACAAAAATCATCATCATATTCCCATTGTTGTTGGTTTATAGCCTATTAACCACTATTAACCACTATTAACCACTATTAACCACTATTAACCACTATTAACCACTATTAACCACTATTAACCACTATAACCACTATTAACCACTATTAACCACTATTAACCACTATTAACCACTATTAACCACTATTAACCACTATTAACCACTTAACCACTAGTAACCACTAGTAACCACTAGTAACCACTAGTAACCACTAGTAACCACTAGTAACCACTAGTAACCACTAGTAACCACTAGTAACCACTAGTAACCACTAGTAACCACTAGTAACCACTAGTAACCACTAGTAACCACTAGTAACCGCTAGTAACCACTAGTAACCACTAGTAACCACTAGTAACCACTAGTAACCACTAGTAACCACTAGTAACCACTAGTAACCACTAGTAACCACTAGTAACCACTAGTAACCACTAGTAACCACTAGTAACCACTATTAACCACTATTAACCACTATTAACCACTATTAACCACTATTAACCACTATTAACCACTATTAACCACTATTAACCACTATTAACCACTATTAACCACTATTAACCACTAGTAACCACTAGTAACCACTATTAACCACTAGTAACCACTAGTAACCACTAGTAACCACTAGTAACCACTAGTAACCACTATTAACCACTAGTAACCACTATTAACCACTATTAACCACTATTAACCACTATTAACCACTATTAACCACTATTAACCACTATTAACCACTATTAACCACTATTAACCACTATTAACCACTATGAACCACTATGAACCACTATTAACCACTATTAACCACTATTAACCACTATTAACCACTATTAACCACTATTAACCACTATTAACCACTATTAACCACTATTAACCACTATTAACCACTATTAACCACTATTAACCACTATTAACCACTATTAACCACTATTAACCACTATTAACCACTATTAACCACTATTAACCACTATTAACCACTATTAACCACTATTAACCACTTAACCACTACTATAACCACTACTTAACCACTATTAACCACTATTAACCACTATTAACCACTATTAACCACTATTAACCACTTAACCACTATTAACCACTATTAACCACTATTAACCACTATTAACCACTAGTAACCACTATTAACCACTATTAACCACTATTAACCACTATTAACCACTATTAACCACTATTAACCACTATTAACCACTATTAACCACTATTAACCACTATTAACCACTATTAACCACTATTAACCACTATCAACCACTATTAACCACTATAGACCACTATTAACCACTATTGACCACTATTAACCACTATGAACCACTATGAACCACTATTAACCACTATTAACCACTATTAACCACTATTAACCACTATGAACCACTATGAACCACTATAACCACTATAACCACTATTAACCACTATTAACCACTATTAACCACTATTAACCACTATGAACCACTATTAACCACTATTAACCACTATTAACCACTATTAACCACCACTAACCACTATGAACACACCTTAACCACTAACCACTATAACTATTAACCACTATTAACCACTATTAACCACTATTTAACCACTATGAACCACTATTACACTATTAACCACTATTAACCACTATTAACCACTATTAACCACTATTAACCACTACTAACCACTATTAACCACTATTAACCACTATTAACCACTATTAACCACTATTAACCACTATTAACCACTATTAACCACTATTAACCACTATTAACCACTATTAACCACTATTAACCACTATTAACCACTATTAACCCACTATTAACCACTAGTAACCACTATTAACCACTATTAACCACTATTAACCACTATTAACCCACTATTAACCCACTATTAAAACACATCTCCATTCCCAGATTTTTCAATATTTTTCCATCAATCATCAAAACCCGAGATCATCAGATCATGGGATCATCGGATCATCCATCGGTGATTCCTCGCTGATTTTGTTGGGGAAATAAGGGAACATCTGAACCGGAAAATGATGGGTTTTTACCATCAAATATACTTGGGGCTTCAACCGGTTTCAATTTTCCCATCATCCAATTCCTGTTGATCTCCATCAAACACCATTAAACCACCATTAAACCACCAGGTGCATCGCTGATCCAAGGCACACCACGCTGAAGCGCGGCTGCCGCGAGAGATTCATCACCCGATGCCAGGAGCTGCGGAAGGTGTCGTTGCTCCAGCGCTGAGCCAGGTCACCGAGGTTGGCCACCGGGGTGTACCTGGAGGGCCAAAATCCGAAAAAACCTGGGGGATTTCAAGGGCAAAAAAGCTGGGAAAATAGGATGGGTTAGGATGGATTAGATGTGTTTCTTTCATGGTGAACATGAGGATTTTGATAGGTTCTTAGTGGTGAAACTTGGGTAACTTCATGGTTTTTGTCGTGCAACTTGTGTTTTAATGGTGATTTAATGAGATTATAGTGGGAAACACATTTAGTAAACGGTGGTTTCATGGTGAGCGGCGATTTTTTTGTGGATGACCAATGGGACGTGGTGTTCAACCTAGAGATTTCAACCAGTAAACCAGGCCGTTTTCATCCCATTTTCCATAGCAAACGATGAGTTTAGAGGGTGGATAGCTAACACGTTTGACCCCCTCCCCTGCTGCCCATCTCTCTGGTGTTTTCATGGTAGGATTCTCCAGCCATGTTTGATTAAATATCCATGTAGTAAACTAATCAAGAATGATAAGGACATGATTGCCTCCCAAAGCGCCAGCCCAGTCGTACTGTTTTAGGGCATTTGAAAAAACGGGGCACCTGTCAGTTTTCACTGAGAGCCATGATCCATCAGGGCGTTTCACTTGGAGCCCTTGAGCTTCCGAAGAATCTTGGCAGACCAGGGTAAGAAAGCCACAATCCTCAGGGACACGTGGCGAAGCCCATGGCTTTCCAATCCCCTACTCCAATTTCTCCCTGAAATTGGAGGGATTCAACATGAAACATATGGGGGACTCAACGATTGAGACATGAGGATGCAATCAGCATGTCAAAATCCTTTGGATTTTTTTAGCTCTCAATGAACATTGCCAATTATCAAGTCACTAAGCTACCATTCACCAAGGTCTTGATGGAATTTCCATGTCTTCCTACTGGCTCCATGCTATCAGCCTATCTACCTGCAGTCTGCCAGTGATCACTTAGACTTCCTGCAGTCTGCAGGCAATGGCCAGAGTACTCACTTATTTATATCTGGTATGAACTGCAGGATCATGACCTCTACCGAATTGGCACTCGCTTCGCAAATATCTGTGACACAAAAGCTACGGGGCCCATGGGGCCCCATGGGGCCCCATGCTATGTTCCCATCAAGGCTGAGATAGGCTGAGTATCTGTATGTTCGCCACAGGATAAATCGCCTTCCACGGCGCGGCGGTTGTTTCGGCGCTCATCTTCCGAGTGCGAAAAATGGAGACCCATCATCACATCATACGGTTTCTTATGGTTTCATATATGGATATATTATATGGATATATGTATATATATATGGATATGGATATGGTTAGTAAATTCCAAGGATGACAAGCAATCATCTAGATCCCATTCCAATATCAAACACACACCAGAAGCATCCAGAAACCATGGTGGAATGTTACGGGGATGGGACCAGTGATTCGTTTAACCAAAGAGATCCCCCTAGGGGGGACATAACCTTGATCATCTACAGCAAACCTCCAAAAGACACCGTAAAATCCTAAGATATTGATATATATATATATATACATATATATATATATATTTATACATATATATATATTTATACATATATATATATACATATATATATATATATTTATACATATATATATATATATATTTATACATATATATATATATATATACATATATATATATACATATATATATATATTTATACATATATATATATATATTGATACATTACTTTTCTATTTTATGGGTAACCATCTTCATGGTGATCACCATCTGGTAATGGGACACATATGTTTACCTTGGTTCCTACTGGCAAAAAACCATCCCATTTTTGGGCACCCAATTTGGACCCACCATTTCTGTTGCATCACCTGGATTTCATCATGCCTTCATCCGTGGGTGGATAGCGCGCCAGCAGTACCTATGAGGCGACCAAAGCGGCGCGACCAAGGGGGCAGCTGGAAATGGAGGATGGCCCTCCGAAAAATAATGGTACAAAGGCCTTCTTTTTGTCGAGCATTAAGTCGACCTGGGTCCAAAACTCCTCCAATTTTGGTGTGGGCAGTTCCAATTGCCAGTCATTTACGTGTGATACAGTAGTGACTTGCAGCGAAACGTCATACTTTCGAACCACCGATGAAACAAACAATCAACCTCTGGGTGTCCAGTGGATAAGTACATCGGACTTAACATGTTTCATTTCAGCGATCCTTGCAGCACAAACTGCGAATACCCGGAGAGGCACCTCTAACATGGTTGCTGCTAAGATCCTACACGCGGCAAGTAGTTGAAGCCTTTTTGCACGTTTGGTACCAGCCCCGTCCGTGGAATTTCATAAGTTTACTCCGACCAAAGCTGGCCTCCATGGCATCCTTGTGAGGTGGGTTCCACGCATTTGGCTAAACTGGGCTACGCGGATGGATAGCATTTGGCACGGCCATTCTCTGCAGAAGTTCTGCATGGCTCATCTTTGTGGGTTGATCCCAGCATTTTTCAATGTTCCAAGGGGGGTTCGCGCAATCAGGCCGTAGAACATGGTGAACCCAACATTGGTTGCGTGTATGTCACAAGTGTCTACAATTCGCCCAAAAACATATTTAGATGATCCCAGATTCACATAAACTATAGACGATTGTAAAGGCAATATGCCCACATAGCATGACGGTTGTGGGCATCTTATTTACATGATTGCCAGTATTTGGCATCCAAAAATTCATATTCTTCACCTGCATTGACCACTTTGATCCACTATTGATGCTACTGGTCCAAAGGTAGGTGGATTGATAATAATGGCGCTCTTTTATGACAATACTGGAAAATCATACACATATGATTTACGATTTTTGTAATTTACGGATATAGACCAGTGACGATATACTATTTGCAGGTATGGTAATGTGTCAGTTTCATGATGAACCGAATTGTTCTGAGTAAACACGTATCAAGCTCACCATCTACATACACATCATGTACAGTTGTTATGCCCAACCAACCCCAGAATACTTATATCCCCCGGTATCAACACGATAGCGGGTTTTATAGCCATTATGATACACCATTGATGATATTACACGTTAGTCATTGATAGACCGTCGTATCCCATCAAATATCACTGCCCCCCTAAATTCTATCATATGAGCCGCCAAAGGTTCCACTATCATCGTTTACTGTGATCTATTAAGCAGCCATTGTTAATCATTTGCTATTGGCCATTGAATCATCCTGTCATTATCCCATTGATGATAGATAAATCATGAAAATGGACAGGTTATTCTCCCATTGTATCCGGCAAAATCCCAATGATTGATTATGAATTATTATTAATCATTACTCACCATTATGATATTCCTTTTCCCTGTGGCTATAACAACTAAATATCAAGGTAACAGTTAATTTTTATCATTAGTCATTTTTGGTTATTATATAAAAAACTAAATATCGCTAAATACTCCCCGTTGATTACTATTGCTCAAATTAAAATATCTATTGATCCCGATGAATTACATCCCCGTTATTCCAGTTCTAATCTCCATTAACTATCACCATTCATCCACGATCCATATTATAGCTGTGATTAGTTTGGATGGTTATGGATGTGATTAGCTTTGTAATAGGGATAACTAATATTATTATTTCATCCATTCATTATCCATACCATAGCAGTAATATCATCATATGCAGTTATTATATGACATATTAAATCAAAGTAATCCATACATCATATTTCATCCATATCATAGCAGTTATAGCTGTGATTAGTCTCCATTTTGGACATCTTTTCCCTGCCTTTGCCACCGGCTTCTGAAAGGCGATCTTCTCCAAGTGTTCCGGCGCCAGGTGGAGTGCCAAGGAGAGGCCCCTGACGGAGGGCGAAATTCAGCCAGAATGGCGATCTAACCAACAAAAGTTGGGAATTTGAACACCGATGAGGATTCAACCAGCAGTTGGGATTTAAGCAACAACTTCTGTTGAAATTTAGCGGATTCCCTGGGAACTCAATTCCTTACTGCACAAAGCTGAAAGGAAAATGCAGCCCCGGCCAGGGGTACATCTTCTTATACTGAAGGGTGGCCAAAGATCCAATTTCTTTTCCCAGCCGCTAATTCAATTCTGGAAATTTAATGTTGCCAAAAAAATCAAATAAATCTCATCATGAACTCCCTTAAATCCCAATTTTCTGCTGCCAAATCCCCCATATCGAGCTGTCTTTTCCCCTGGGAAAGCGTCGACCCGCCTGAGAAGGGATCTCGACAACTCCAGCAGAGCAGTGTGGTAGGCTCCTCAGCCACCAGTTGGGTCGACAATGAGAATAGCAATGGGAATTTCAGGACCCTGAAATGGGCATACCCACTTAGCAATTCCATAGACCTTACATTTGGGTAGGTACCTCCAATTTAGGTACCTGAAATGGCCATTGAGGATGTCATAAATGGGTTAATGGGCTAAGATTTACTGGGTTGCAGTGGGTTTAACCTTGCGGATATAGTGGTTGTATTTGATTGCATACCACGGCGAGCTAATAGTGGCAATAAATTGGGCTATACAGTAAACCAACCATGATGGGGATATAATGGGGACATACTGGGATATCTCAATAAATGACCTTTGTTGGGCCATTGATCAATACAACCCGTTGGTTACTAACACACATGGGGTTACTATGGGCTTGCATGGGTTTGATTGTGGAGTTCAATGCAAATATGGCATGGATATTTCAATAAACCGTTGGGAAATACAACTATGACACTGACACCATCATTTTGAAAGCAGTCCGGAAGGCTAAATCAGTAAGTTTGCATGACTTTAGATCCACAGCCTCCTTGTTCCCCTTTACCATCTCTTCAGCCGGTTCTTTGGGATACCCTCTGGTTATGTCAAAATAGCTATAGAACATGGCACATTTAGAGATGATGACCTTTTTTCAATGTTCAATTACCGCTATATCTTCGTAAAATATTGGGATGACGCGCTTACCAGAGGAACCTGGGACGCGCTTCCCCTGCTATCGCACCATGGGGAGATCATGGGGTGATTTTTTGGCCAATGATTTGGGTGTCTGAAACATGGGCCAAAAAATCTGGTAAACCAGGACAGAGCCATGGCGATGTTTCCCCTGTTAGATGAGCTATTTGAGGATCCGGGTCATTTTCCATGGCTATGTTAGATGACAATAGGGCACCCCAGTTTTTTGGTCTATTTTCATTGGGAGATGCTAAAAAAATCAGCACAGGATGGAATGTAGCCGATTTTGAAACACACCTGTATTGCTTCGGCAATATGGACATTGTTCTGTAAAGACACGTTTAAATTTGCTAGTTCCCTAGTTCCATTCATTAGCTTCGGACATTGATCTGAAGTGGCTGGCATATGTTTGGCTCTGAAACAGGCACTTCTAGTAGGCGATTCCGCTTAAATGGATGCTTCCTTTCGTGCCTGGGATTCAACCAACATCTCCAAGCCCAAGTGCTATGGCACGGCACTCCCCAAAAAATATGGAACAGTCATTTCCTCCTGAAAAGGTGGCAAATTGAACCTGATCTTTTTTTTTTGGGGGGGGTACTATAACCATTGCTAACTATCATATTTGAATGTTCTACCATTGACCACCATACTAGTGGCCATTGGCAACCACTATTCAACCACGACTATTGACCATGACCAATGACCATTACGTTTCGCCATGATTATTGATTCATATTTCCATATTATGACTATTATTGACCATGACCAATGACCATCATTATGACTATTAAACCATATTCATTCACCCTTGTTACCAATCAGTAACCCATCATTCCTGGAGGGGTGATCTTCAGAGCCAAGCATCGTAGCTCCTGGTAGAAGTCTTCCACCGGTGGGGCAGCGATGCCTTCTTTCGTTGGGAAGTCAGTTGGGATTCAATCCACGAGAAAAATGTGGAGCAACCGAAGAAGATGTTACTTGTTGATTTACTCATCTGGTTGGTGGTTTCAACCTACCCCTCTGAAAAATATGAGTCAGTTGGGATGATTATAAACCACCAATCACTCATTTATATTCATTTGTTCACTTGTTTCCTTACATGAGATTTAAATAGATTTACTACACAGGGGTTGACATTGATTTAATCAGCGATCAACGGGGGAGTTAATTGAGCAAACATGGGGTTTCGACCAGCCAGAACCGGGAGGTTTCACAAAGAAATGAACCGATATTTAATGAATGAACATCAGATTTCAACCAACATTGAGATTCAATGGGATTCAACATTGAATATTCATTCATTAAATGGATTCAATATCCAATATTTTCATGCCAATGGGATTCAAGGGCTCTAAAATGGACCAAACATTGAGATGTCAGCCGACTGAGTACCTGACCAAGACTGGGACTTCACCAGAAAATGACAGAGGTACAACCCGCAAGAATCTACATCATATCAGCCAGAAATGGCTGATCTGGTGATCTGGAATGGGTGATTGTTTACCACCATTTTCTGATTTTCCATGGTACAGTGGAACTTTGACAAACCACATCACCTGTAACAGAGCGCAACTGCCAGTTCAACAGATTGAGGACGTCACAGCGACTCAAATTTGATGTCAGTATAGCAACCCCCAAAACGATAGAAAAGTCACATCTTCCTAAAGTAGTGAAGAATTACTTGCTACCTTTCTGGGGGTTACTATATTCTCGCAGGGAGCTGAAAGCCACAGGCGGCGCCTTCCTCCGCAGTGGGCGGTTCTCCGCAGTAGAAGGTCTCCTTGACTTCTGGCCTTTTGGAGGCCAAAGAACCTCGGGCTGTTTGGAAATCATGGGAGATAATGGGAAAACTCATGAGGTAGTGGAGTAACCACCAATATGATAGCATGTATGTTGATATGATCTGTACCATAGATGGGATGGGTACCATAAAATGTTGGGAAAACTGGCGCCAAATTTGATGGTTTGTCATCACCTTCCATTTTTGAGACTGATACTTGGATGTTGGAGGTATTTTAGACAAATCCATATTGACAATCGCGGAACAAACATGGTGCCCAAGATATCGACCAAAACAAGTCTTGATCGCTGAACATGTAAAATTGAGGCACAAAGCCGTGGGCACAACTGCACAACAATATAGTATCTGATTAACATGACTGTTCAACTGTTCAACCAAAGTTTATTGTTGGCTGTAATGCTTCGGTCCCATTTCCTAAAAGGCAAATACACTGGAACCTCCATTGTTGCGTTCCCAGCGTTCCAATGTGAAATTGATGGCAGTTCGCACTTCAATTCTTTCCTTACTTGTCTCACCATGTTACCAGATTTAACCATAAAATCATTTTTGCCTGCAAATAATGATCCCATCATCTCAGCAACACGCAGCATCCTTTCAGCCAGCGATTTGGTTGCCACGCAACAGTTCTGTCCGCTGCCAAAAGGGTTGAAGCCCCGCCAGCCCGTTTTCTCGGAACCTGGGGATCTCGGCGAGACTTGCTTGGTCTCGAATGGCGCACATATCTGGTTGGTGGTTTTAACCATCTTGAAAAATATGAAAATCAGTTGGGAGGATTATTCCCAATATATTATGGAAAAAATGTTTGAAACCACCAACCAGATATTTTCATAGAGGTGTCCTACAATATCCTACAGGTCCTACAACACTTCGCTTCAGACTCATTCTAGCAAGAGGGTTTTGAATGTTGGTACGCCTGCAAGGATTCATGGTCCACCCAAGAAAACTATATGGAACATCTATGGAACTATAAGAATTTGTCGGAAGATCGGGGGCAGCCCTTAAAGTAACAATTTTCCTTCTGGCAATCAAACATGGCAATGGAAAATCCACCATTAGTCAGTTGGGATTATTATTCCCAATATACGGAAACATAAAAGTCATGTTCCAAACCACCAAGCATTAACCCATTATTCGCCACTCATTGCTGGGATCGAGGATAAACACCAGAACTGCGACCATTGCGCTGGGCCACTGGTGTGTTTCATCTTCTCCTCCTCTGGCAGTTCAAAGAAGCGTCTGGACACGGCCTGAGCTGGGAAGTGTGCCACGAAGCGTTGAGCCCTGGTGGAAAATGTTGGAACATGTTGGAAAGTGGTGGTTCAACATAGCAATCATAATATATATATATATGGCCATATATATAAACACACAACTTTGGTCAATGATGGTTCATACTGGTGAATTTTGGTTGACAATGGCTAATCATGGCTAATCATGGCTAATCATAGATATTGATACTTTTGCTGGAAATCACATCCGGGGAGAACCATGGTGAAGGTTGCCGCATTAGTCTCATATTCCTGAAACCTCAATACATTTAATGTTGCATGATGAAACTCCAATTTTTGTTTTTACCCTCTGGTTATTTAACATAGCCATGGAAAATCACCATTTTTAATAGGTAAACCATCTATAAATGGACCATTTTCCATGGCTATGTTAAATAACAAGAGGGTATCAGTTTTTGCTGCCTAAATTGGAGGTACCTACCATATATAAGGCCTAAATTTCAGGGAATATCCCCCCAAAAAATGGCCAAAAATATGGTACTAACGTACCTCCAATTTAGGATCCTGGAATTCCCATTGATAAAGTGACGGTTTTTGCACGTTTTCAAACCGTGATTTCTCAGCCAAAAAATGGTCCACCAAGGTGCAAAGATCCGATCCAGAAGCTCATTGGGCAGCGAATGGCCGGTGACCAGGAAGAAACCCGTCCTTAGTCGATTTATTGGAGATTTACTGGTGATTTGCTGGGAATTTGCTGGGAATTTATTGGGAATTTACTGGTGATTTATTGGAGATTCATATAACTATATCACCAGAATTGGATTTATTGGGGCTTCTATATATAACTATAAGACTATAAGTTGTAAATTACTGCGGGAATTTTGGTGGTTCTCATCTTGGATTGGATCTGGCTAGAGAAATCATTCACCAATGGTTTCATGTTGGGGGGTTAAGCCCAGGTCGCAATGCACGGTGGTTGTGGAGCGCCAAAAACCCCATCCAACTGTGGCTGTAAGGATCCAACAAACCAACGGGGTATAGTGCTGATCTTGTGGCGACTCTTCAGGAAAATCACCAGCAACTAACAGCATGATACTCATATTCACTACTATCAACCATCATTTAACATATCACAACCAGTGGTTCATCAATAACCATTAGTTCTTAACCCACAGAATTATTGCCTTGTTTAATGGCAATCCCCATTACGATAATGATCACATGAAAACGATTCACAGCTATCTATTTTTCTTATGATCCCCATTATTCCTCATACCACGAACTGATTATCATCGCCCCTATGATGTGAATAATACAATTACCCTCTGGCAAATAAACAGTTGGACCCTGAAATAACCAATTTTTAATGGCAACTAATCTTCCAACCCCGATGACTGGCAGGGTCTATGTTAATATACTGGAGGGTAATTACTAGTAACTACTAATATTCTAGCCTTTTGTTTTTGATGATTGTTGATGAATAATAACTGGGCAGTACTGATAGTGGATATCAATTGTTCAAAATCCTCATAATCTGACTATGAATCATCCAGTAATTGTAGTGATCCCGTATCAACCGCTACGAATTACATCAAAGTATAACCATTCATATACAATACAGACTACTATTCTATAGTGACTAATGACCATTTGTTCCTCACCATCATGAATATCATGAATAGTCCCAAGTACTCTACAAAAATCCGAAAATCACCATCCAAAATCACCATCCAAAATCACCATCAAAATAGGAAAAAACATGGGAAAATCACCATCAGCCAGAGCTTCTCTTGACAGGCGCTCCTTAGCTGCTGCACCGCCGCATCCTCTGCGCTGGTTGCTGCTAGCAGCTGCGCCACGTTGACGCGCCGCAGGTTCTACCGGCAGGGATGGCACCGGCAGATGACTGATTTTGGTGGATTTTTGGAGGAAACCATCCCAAACCCCCAGCATTTTTCGAGAAAAACATGATGAAAACATGCAATGAACATCCAGAATTAACAGCTACTGAAGGTAGATTCACGAAAACACCTGCTGTAATTGGGAGTCTACCATCTTTCACTGCTTGGCTGGATGTTTAGGTTGCATCTCTAAAAAGCCTGGGGCGACTTCCCTGCAACCAGAAACAAAATAGGCGATGTCATCACTAGTGATGTACTTACCATTTTCATCCAGTTTCAATTTTTTTTGATCCTTGTGGTAACATACCGCATTGGGCAAACCCACTATGGTTGGCAAAGCTACCAATCATCCAATTCCCCTTTTTTTGAACTGCCCGCCGCTAGCGTGGCTGGTGGCGGAACCTCATCATCCGCCATGTTGATCGTGGCGTTTCGAGAGAAGGAGTGACAGTGGTTTGGTAACAAGCTGCCACTTTGGGCGGTCCAAAACATTGGGTACATCAGCAACAAATCTGCTGTGGAATGTAAGCATCAATTTTGGGAGCTTGTTGAGAAAAGAAACATGTGATGGGTCAAGACTTTGTGTCGGGTAATGTTGGATTAGTAGTATATAGTATCTTTGAGATTTCCTGTAAGGACAACAAACTCTTGCTGGTCTGATTCGGCAATTTTCTGACTGTTTCTGCCTTTCTGCAACACTGAAGGGAGCCAACATATCTCAAGTTTGATTGGAACCACAATGATGCTGCTTCTCTTTGTGCAAACATCTTCAGCCAATGGTTATCTCATGGTTTTGGTTGGCATCATTGCCGGAAAATATGGAGTCCATCTGGTATCTAGAATCTAGACAACAGCTTAGCTGAAATGGCTGTAGCAAGCGGCTGCGACATTCCACAAGGCCACGTGAGTGGAACATGATGTCAGGCAAAGAATCGACACATCACCGAAAGTCTTGTTGGGTGGTTTTTAAGGAACTTTACAGGAAACCCTGGTTTTCCCGATTATTATTAGTTTTTTTTTCTCACTTTTTCCTTTACAACATGATGTGCTAAGGATCTCCTCTTTACCTGAATCCCATGAAATACACTGACTTTATCTCATTCACATGTCCATTGGAAATCCACAACATCCTGTTGATATCCCAGCAATAATATCATCAAAAATCCCACATGATCAATATGACGAATGACTAATACTTTATTAATCCCCGCCTGAATACCAACATTAATAAACCATTGTCCTAATATTAAACACCCTCTTGAAGCACCGGTTTTAGCATCTGGACCCTTCTTGAGGATAGTCAATATTATGGGCATGTGGCTTGCCTCATTTCTGACTTCATATCCCCATTACTGCCACCAACAATGGTACCGAATTAATATCACAATATATTCTAGTTATTAAAATTAGTTGCTATCCCATAGACCAATTAATACCCTCCCAGTCTTATGAACTAACCTTTGGTAAACTACCATAACCAAGGAACATCACCATCTTTAACAGAGAAATCAGTTATATAAATTGCAATTTTCAATAGCAACCGGTTAGTTTACCAGAGGGTATGGCCTTGAAATACCAAAACCATCATGCTGAAGTCCCGCTGTGCCTGCGATCTCATCGAGTCACCTGAGGCAGAGGCCAACAAAACCAACCCCCAATATGAGGATGTCCCTTGACTCAAGATGTGGCAAAAGACTTCCATGACAGAATGCACTGCTCATAGATGTGCTGTGTTTTTCTCTTCTGCCTTGGTCTCTGAAAGGAACGGACTATAAGCGACAAAGCAAGACGGAGCCAACAGTTGGTCTCAACATCTCACAGTTCCTCACACGGGTCTTGCTCAAAATTATTTATCAGTAGAGAGGCCAGCATCCCCAGCGCCCAAAAAACCGATAACAATGGCTACTACAATTGACCCATTTGCTGGCGAATGGGTCCCCCATATTCTGTTGCCGTACCCATGTGCTCGCAATTGAAAGGTTGGGTGTGGGTCAAGACTAACCGGGGATGGGCATACGAAGCGACCAACATGGGGATGTATGTGGAAATCAAGTGGCAAACCAACGAAGCAAATGTAATGTTGGAGATTTCTCCAAGAATAACGGATCCCAGGATCCAACTGTTCATCATGACTTTCACCATTGGCACAGTAGATGGAGCGTATCCACCATTCTGGATAAAGCCATACTGGTTGGTGGTTGAGCCCTACCCCTCTGAAAAATATGAGTTCGTCAGTTGGGATGATGACATTCCCAATATGTGGAAAGTCATAAAATTCCATGGTTCCAAAGCACCAACCAGTTTTTGTATCTTTACCAGAGATTTACCCTCTGGAAATTTAACATAGCTATAGAAAATGGTCCATTTATATCCATAGAAATATTGGGAATCATTACAAACCACCAACTCCTCAACCAACCAGATTATGACATTCCTCCAGGACAACTCAAAGTTTAGCCAGGGATTTCACAGCTGGATCCTCATGGTCTGGCTGAGAGGTACGAGTTGAGTGGTGCCCCTGTCCCGGTGCCTACATCCATATCCTCCCCATGATTTCAGGATTCATGTTGAGAAAATCCACTGACTTGTTGCTTTGTTGCTGAAATCCCACGGTTTTTGTTGGTAATTGATGGTCTTTGTTGCTGAAATCCGGTTAAACCCATCATCTTTATGGCTAAAAACCAGTGGAAAAGCCGCCAGGCCCCTTCTCATGATCGAGTCACCTTCCATGTCACCATTGGGGATGGCAGGGGCAGGCACCTGGCAGGCATCTGAATGAGGTGTTTCAACCTCATTTTGCTGGGGATTTTACAGGCGGACTTGGCGTTTAATCATTTTAATCATTGACAATGGGATGATTATGATTTTACCACCGGGGACAGCACCAAAGAGTAAAAAGTGGATCCCGCAACTTCAAAAGTGGAAACACGTGGATTATTTTGGGCCATGTTATTGCCATGCTGGGTCATACTGCAACATTTGGGGCATGGGTCAAAACAATCAAACATCAGCATATTTTCTTTTGCCAAGTGTTGTGCGGTATGGTATGTGGTCCATGCCCAGATGCCCGAATCATCCCTTGAATCCTTGACATGTTGTTTACCAAGTTTAGGATTTACTGACGATAAACCATTGGAATGTTCAAACTGTCAAAATTGAAATTACTATTCCAATGGTTAACATGGATAAGTAATCATGGATAAGTAATCATGGATAAGTAATCATGGATAAGTAATCATGGATAAGTAACTGTCAGATTTTCAAAATTGGAATGAGCCATCATTGAAAATTACGTGGATAAATCTGGTGAACTGCAGTGGCCAATCCTCCTGCTTCCCAGGTAAGTCTTAGAATTTTAGGGGCCGGGGCAGCCTCATGGCCCTCATTGCTGCTGCATGGGCATGACAGATGATATACGGCCATTCGAATTGGAATCTTTTCAGTAAACCCGATAAGAACCATTAACCATAAGCAATATCCTGCCAGACAAACGAGGTCAAAAAAACAACAATGGCAACAGGCTGCTTTGGGTTTCCAGAATCCCTACTGCCCTACTGCCATGGTGACATATTATACAACCTATCAACTTCAGTTCTTTGCGCCCACATCGTGAAACAATTCACCCAAGGAAATCCTTTGCTGTAGCGAACAGCGCTGGCTGAATTTTGCCAGAAGTTACGCCATCCTTCCTCGCAACAGCGTTGGCAAGCTCAGGGCGAAGCAAACGCTTGGCTTTGTCAGCCCAATGACTATGGTTTGGGTTTGTCTGAAAATAGGGTATATTCCCAATTATAGCCATTTAATAGGGATAATGATCAGCAAAACCATTGGGTTTAGGGGTACACTATTTTCAGACACACCCGTTTGAATGAAGATCCAACGAGTGGCAAAAACCTGTCTTGCTTTGGGCTACTCATGGCCGCCAAAGCAGTGGATTCCACAGCAGGCATTCGGATTTTCGAACCTTTGAACAGCTGCCACATGCCATCTTTCCCCGACCAAATCGTGGTGCAACTTTTCAATAGACCTGAGGACCTACTGGCTTTCCATTCGCCCTTGCTTGTCCTTCAGCATTCTTGATTGTATGGCTTTTCCTCCTACTTTTGGCGATCTAGTTTTTGGATGCTTGGATCTACTTTTTGCAGATCTGATTGGGCAAGCTGCTGTGCCCAAAGTATAATCATAACAATGGGATTTAACAATCACTGAATGATTCTGAAAGGAGTTCAATGGATTGATTTGCACAACAGGAGACACTCTTTCTTGCGGTTTTCCTGCAAAAGAAACACCTCGAAACATTTCTGGGAAAATTAGAACTTTGTTACTGACAAACTACTATGGACATTTTTTATCTGGAGTTGTCTGGACTGTTGATGATCCATCCCAAGAAATATGATATTCAATCAAGAACCACTGGATATATTCAACCGGCAAACATCAAGATGCTGACCAACATTAACGTTGACAACATGTCCACCACCTAAATCTAGCTATTCGAGGGATATGACAAAAATAGGACGAACACACACACTCGAACACGGATACACCAAGAACAATCCACTGTTTGTCCGAAAACCGAAAATAACATCCTGTTTGAGAGCGATTTCCCAGTTGTTGAATCCTGGGCGGCCCCCCGATTTGTCTTATCTGTTATCACAACCAACCTTTTCTGGGCCGGTGCCCATACCCGCGTGAATCAGCAGCCCACGAATCTTCCATCTCTCATATTGTTGGTTGTATTACATACCCTCTGGCGAACTAACATAGCTATTGAACATGGCCATTTATAGTGGATTTTCCCATTAAAAATGGTGATTTTCCATAGCTATGTTAGTTTACCAGAGGGTAAGTCCTGCATCTCATCATATTTTTCATAACATGGGTTTTGTATGCTCTCTGTTGGTGAAATCCCCAACTTTTCAACACACCCTATGGTGATCAAATGGCTACTCAATTATCGTCCATTGATTCACCCAATGTCTTCAATACCAACTAATACGTTCCTTATTGTTCCTTACACATGAGTTATTATCCCTTTAACACGCATTGTTGATTTATCACGACTAGTAACCAGTACTTACAACTTTATTGGTTAATTTCCCCACATCACAAGCACAAATAACAATGATAGGATTGGGACATCAACCACAAACCGTTACATATTATTCATAAATATTCATAATGATATTGGTGTCAATAATGACTCCTTCGTGCTTATCCGGTTGACATCATACCATTAAAAAATATTCCTAATCAACACCCATAATAATTGTATCCCATTATATATAATTGAGGATAATACTCCATGTATATGTATATATATATATATACATATACATATATATACATATATACACATACATGTATATACATAGATTTTCATTAGCCATTTAACAGTCACAAATGATCCCCACACCATCCCCCCCGCATCGCTGCCTCCGCGCCCGAGCCCGGCGCCGCACCC